GGGGGGTGCAGTAGCCACGCTAACGCGGTTAGCCAGCGCGGTCAGGTACCTCATGACCAGCTGCTGACACCTCGCCTCAGCAGGCTGCCATACACTAGTAAAACAAGTGTGCACAATTAGCACACCAACGTGTTCAAGTTATGATTTTGCACATTATATGGTGTTTCACACGAGTTGCACACTTGCGTGGTGTTCAAATTTTAGACTTTTGTAAACGTTTAAATTCTGCACACTTGGACACACACAGACCTATGCTATCAATAGGAGCCATGTTGTGTACAGTTGCTACATTTTGAAAGTGTCAAAAGTTTAAACACCAACTGACCTTTAACCTGGTTAGACACCACAATAATGTGTCGAGAAAATGCACACTTGAACTTAAACATCAATTGACATGCAAAGTTTAAACACTTGTTTTACCTGTGTATGCGTAATTCGTCTCGGCCGTTCAGGGCAAATTTCAACAGCCGAGAAACTACTCGGATCATAGTTAGGAAAATCATAGTTACCCGTTTTCTAGTAGATTTAGTAGATTTTCTTTAAAAAAAAAGAAGACAAAAGCTGTGTAAAGTAGCAGACTTAAGAGGTGTTAAGTTCTTATACATTTCAAAAGGCCTTAAACCTCGAAAGGCACCAATCTTTAGCACCTTTCGAGCTCTTTAGTACCTCTACGAAGGCCAAAAACCTCCAAATTTCGTGGGCACCCCTCCAAAAGTTATATATAAAGCTAAACACCTTTCTGCAGTGGATGTCTTCGGATATCAACATATTGTGTGTGCGTGTCTCGAGCATTTAATACTTGAAATTTTTGACTCAATACTGGACACTTGATAGCCTTTTTAATAGATAAATGGGGTTATCGTCTAGACACTACTTTGCAATTAATTGTGTTGCGTGGTATGAAGACATGCCGCTGCAATTACGAAAATATGCCCCGTGGGTAAAAATCAGTCCAATACAGTCCGACAGACTGCTAGACGTCAACCCACACAATTGATGTTCTACTGTTTATTTTACGGAGGAAAAGAGGAATTGAACCCAACATTTTATCACAGCTACATTAAATAACAATATGGGGAGCCTTTAGGAAGACGCACCATTGCACAGACTAAATAGGGAAATCCTGATCCCGTGCAATATTTTTTTCAAATACCTGGATATTAATTACTACAAGTTATCTAGACAGCTGCCCTTGGGAATGCCTCCTGGCTACTTCCAGGCGCAAATATCGTTGAAATTTCCCAGTCTTGGCAGCTTTTACGTTAAGGCGGTTTCGGCACCGGCTTCTGCTCGGCTTGGCATGGCAAACTAGATCCCTCCATGAGGTGGGCGCCCTTGTCGCCTGGTAGCGGCGCAGCGCCCGAGGCAAATAAGCGCCGGCAGCACAGTTAGAAATGTGTGTTTACGTCAATGCAAAGTCCCCCTCAAATCAACATTTAGACAACGACAAGTACCCAAACGAATAGGTACAGGCTGAAGAAGTATTACCTGGTCAGAAAAAACAAGTTAGTTTATATTCCCGCAGAAATTGAATCCAAACTGTATTGCTTCACGCAATATTGTTAATGTTTTTTTTTTGTTTTTTTCTAAAACCGAACTTAAGAAAAACGGTAATTGCCTCAGTTATCATACGGCACATCACGTCCAACCTGCTGACTTGGTGCTGCGCAGGCTGGACATGGCGTGCCACTGCGTGGTCCTGGTCCCCGGGCCCCACACAGTCCGCCAGCCTCCCTCCCCTAGGCCCCTCGTCGTTCCTTCCCTTTTCAGTCGAGACGCTTTCTATGTCAAGGTTTGTCGCCTGGCCGCTAGAGGTCTCTGCCACACGTGCGTGCTTCCCTTTCAGCAGCTTCCCTCCCCTGCCTCTGAACGTGAAAAATGTATTTGTGAATTTGCGATATTTTTCGTAAGTTTAATTAACAATTGATACTGTAAATTTTTAATCGTTGTAAGTTTACAAATCCTGTTGATAACTAAAAATCGTAATTTTACGATTTGCTCAATCCATATTGCCAAAACATTTCATAGTGGTAACATTTGATTTAGTAACTTGACGAGATAACAATTGGACTTCGTCACTGAACGAAATTTGCCATGGAATATTTTCCTGTAAACCTGCTACGAATAATTTTCACAGTGTTTAACCCCTCTCCTCCTCCCCTGTCCCTCTTTATCAACAGAACGACGAGAATTTCCAGTCCAGTACGTCAGTCCGTCCATTCACTGTCCTCTATAGACGTGAATCTAAAAACCTTATGGCCTATTCCTTTGAATTTAATAATCCGTGTATCATTGGCGCAGTAGGCGTAGTTTCGCGATGGACTGCGAATCAAACAAGCCTTTTGCTTTGGCACTCCGTCGACTGGAGAGAACCCGGAATCCGGACGGGAGATGCTTGTCTCGCTTAAAATTTCGTCGTCGCTGGAAAGATAACAACAAAGAAGCATTCTTGTGACGTATCACGTATCACGCCAGGATGCGCAGCAGCACTTAGGCTCCAAACCGGATCATACGAGAGGACATTGCCTCCCAATCGAAAAAACAAAAAGGTAAATGCTTCTCCTCCTTAATTTCTTCAAAGCGCACAAGCCGCAAAAAAGTCTCAGTTTAAAAAAATACAAAAACAAAATTGTTTTCTTTGCACACAATTGAAAATCGTCCATTTTGGGTTTGGAAAGGGGCGGTGGAGCTCATGATACACCCATCGTGTGACGTCAGTCGTATTCAAGTTGCATCAAACAACGCAGTCTATCAGCCGCGTTACTTTTTGGAAGGCGGAGAGCGCACACGCGGTGACGTCAGAGAGCCAGGCGGAGCCGGGTCCCGCGCCGCGTCCCGATCCGGTCGCGTGTCGCAATAATATTATACCAGGGCGTGGCGTGGCGCAGCCTCGCGCCGGTCACAAATCCCGCCAATATTATTACAATCAAGCAAATCACGACACTACAAAAATTGAATTAGTCACAGAGAACTTCGCAGTTTTCCTTTCTCTCCTAACAATGTCCTTCATAAAAACATGTTTCCATGCATGAAAATAACTTCTGAAGAGCTTCAGTTTAGCTGATTGATTACAACGGACTGGTTTTCTACACCAAGATTTGCGAAGTGGATGCAAAAAGTTTTCGAAAAATTATAAGTGGCATTTTATTGGAGAACTCCCAAAACAAATTTTAATGCGCTTTTTCCTTTAAAAGGATTTGTAATTTCGATGCAAGTTTTTTAACGCTTACGTTATTTTCTTAAAGTTTGATTTGTTTTGCAGCTTTTTCCGTCATCGATTTTTCACCGCGTCAAAGACAAAGTAAATCTAATATTCGTCATAACACAGATCGTTTCCTCAAACATGGGAGTTCCTCAAAGTTTTCCCTTTTCCCTAAAAAAATAGGACATTGTTTTACCGTGTATTGCTTTCTTTCTTCTTCTTTTTTTTTTTGAAAAGTGGGGAAAAGTGTCATTTGCGCTATGATGTCAAATGCACGCCATAGGCATTTGAACCGGCGATCGTCTTGGCCGTCTTAACGACTTAATTACGCAAGTTAATCGTCCTCGTGGGAGCCTGTCGGCTGCCTGTCGGTGAGCCTGCCGGACAGGCCGGCTGGGAAGTGGGACGGACGCGTCATCTCTCTCGCACGCACTGCCGGTAGCAGAGCAGGGAGCAGGGCCTTCTCCGGCGCGGGGAGGGCGGAGGGCGAGGACAAAAGATGAACAGAACAAGAGGCGCCTGCAGGACACTGTAGCCGTCATTAAATTGTGATCAGGGACGCGGGGGTGTTGCCTTGAGCCGCATCGGCCAGCCTTGAGCCCCCCACCCCACCACCACCCTCCGGCTCTTGGCAAACCAGGACCTGGAAACTTTTCAGAATTATTTGAATCGTATTCCTACTCTGCACGACAAGGAGGAGGTTCTCGCTTGTGCTTCATGCCCGCCGCCGCATCAGACATACAAAATGTGCTGCGTCCGACTGTCGGCCACGTTCAAAAATACTTGCGCACAAAGATTTTCATTCTTTTTGTTCGGGCACTAATCCCTTGCCGTACAATCCGCATTGTTGGTGTATATCGGGTGTATATATTAGAGGAGGCCACTTCTAGGCCAAGTTTAGAGCAGCGGGTCTGGAGGTCAAGCACAGCAGATGAACACAACACGCACACACCTACACTCACACGTAAAAGGGCGTGTGCATCGAGCCGTACAGCTGCGTGTATATGTGAATGGGTGTGCGTGTGTGTAAGGGATCGGGAAGGGAGATGAGGAGGGGGGCAAGGCGCGAGCGCCAAACGAGTGGTAACAGCGCGGTACGTAATTGTAATAAAGTGTCTGTTGTTGCTGCGCGAGCGCGACGGGGCGACGAGCACGCTCGCGCGCGCCTGCTCAATTCAAAAAGATCACCTTCGTATACAGCAAAAGAAAAAGACGATGATTTTGTCGTCAGGCGTCTTTATTACTTGTAACTTGTGATACACCCCCCCCCTCTCTCTCTCTCTCTCTCTCTCTCTCCCTCCCTCTCCGTCTCACTCTCCCTCTCCCTCCCTCCCTCTCGTGTGTGGCCAAATGT